CCCCGGCACGATGCCCGTCAGAGGAGCGGTCCTGGGGCAGAGTGATGGCAGCCTTCCCATCTCTGAGGCAGGGCGCCTGCGGACCGGGTAAACCAGGAGCCCCGTCTGGCCAGGCACCCTTCCTCGTGCGCCTCTCTCATTCAGCCTCATCCAGCCAGCCTTCCCATGTCCCCAGCTTACAGACAAGAAAAGTGAGGATTTCCCCAAGTCGTATTAGGAGGGGTGGCAGGGCCGGGCTGTGAACGCAGGATTCTGAGGTCACACACTGAACTCCACACGCATCCTGTTCTCTCAGCACCTCGCTGAGGCGGGACCTCAGGGCCCCGTGGGTTTGTGGCTGGAGCACAGAGCTCTGTTTGCTGCAGTTTCTGCTGAACACTTTGGCTTGCAAATGTAGAGGGTTCTCTGAAGCAAATTGTGGTGGACAGTGGAGCGAGCAGCAGACAGGAAGCGTGGCCAGGTGCTCTGGGGAGGGTGTCTCTGTGGGGTCTCTGTGGAGCCAGGGGCTCCCAGGAAAGGAAGCAGCAACAGGCTGAGGAAGGAGGCACCTGCGGCTTCAGCCACACTGCTCTCCCTGGAATGTGGTGCTGTGCGCTTTTACCAGGTTTTGCAAATGCGATTAGGACGTAGGCTCGCTTCCCCTTGTTGAAATCATGAGGGATTATTTAAATACATTTAAAAATTAGATTTTCCTAAAGTATGTCTGATGTGAGAGGTGAACATATCTTGGGGTTACAAATCAGTGGACATGAATTACCCCGCAAGCAGCAACAACTGGGTCCATGTGTGATCTTTTTGAAGTGTCTACCTTCTCTTCTAGGTTTTTTCCTCCCTAAACCGGAGACCTGAAGGGTCGCTGACGTTCCAGACGGCTCTCATGCTGTGAAAACCTACTTTGTCTGTACCACTCATGAAACAATCAGCAGCTTAGCCACGACTCCAGGGGCACTTCTAGCCCTGTAGGTTTATGCTGTCCAGGACGTGAGCCGCCAGACAGAGGTGGCTACGCAGCCCTGGAAATGTGGCTTGTGTGACTGAATTTTATTTCTTTTAAAATTAAGTTTAAGTAAGAAACTGATGCCCTGCTCAGTTACTGAAGGCCCTGTGTGTGTCTGAAACAATTTAAAGACGTGGATCCGCTTTTCTCAGGGGTGAATGTTGTGAACTCTGAGTACCGATGAAGTGTTTAAATGAAAACTTAGGGTCTGGGCTTATGAGTGTGAAACACCAGATTTAAAACAATATCACAGAGGAAGTAAAATACCTCCATAGCTTGCACTGTATATTAAGATGAGAATATCTGACATACATTGAGTTCAATAAAACACATCATTACAATTGATTTCACCTGTTTTTATACTTTAAAATATGGCTCGCAGAGCATTTTAAAGAACCAACATGCGTGGCATGTCTCTTGGACAGCTTTGGAGGCTGAGCTCTGTACACTGTGGTGGGCAGCTGGGTTGGTACAGTGGTCCTAGTCAACCACGGGTGTTTCACGGAAAATAATTGTGTCACCCTTTGGGGCAGACACTTGCACCAGTCTGAGTCACTGCTCGCGTCAGGAAAGACCTGCCCCAATTACCTTGCCAAGAGGGTTGTTTGCAGAAAACCCAGGGCTGGAGGTCTCTAGAATCTGGTTCTCGCTGCTTCTCAAGTTGGGGTGCGCTAGAGGCACACGGGTAAATGCCCCCCACCAGCCCGCCTGCATCCAGAGAGGGTCTCCATTCAGGACAAGCGCCTCTGTGGGGCGGAGTTGAGCTGGGCCTCTGCGGACACTGCTGGCTCCCCCGCCTGGCTCCCTTCGGCCTGGCCTGATCACACAGTTCTTCAGCTGTACACAGGTAGTTGTGCTTGTTTTGCTCTTTCCACGTGGACTGAACTGTAGGATCTTCATATGGAAAAGAACTGCTGGGCTTTCTGCCTGAGCAGGAGGCATCGGAGGGCAAGGTTTTGAGTGTGAAGCCTTCTTGTGTAAAGTGTCACCCTCTTTTGTCTCTGTAAAGAGCCTCCTGTAGCAGGGAGAATTACCTTCTGGGATCAACATGCGGAGGCTGACCTGGTGGTGCTTGGAAAGGTCATCTTTCCTGAGGTAGCCATGGTGGTGACGGTGGCATGATCAGACATGGCCGCGGGTGGAGGCTCACTTGAGGGGCCAGGAGGGCCACCATCGTTAGCCACCGATGGTGCTCAGTGAGGACCACTGTTATGAACCTGCAGGGCTTCAAAAAAAAACCCCAAAACAAAAATAATACCATCCTGGGCCACTTCAGCAACAGAAATTTAGTTTCTCAGAGCTCTGGATACCAGATGTCCTCGGGTCAAGGTGTCAGGTTTAATTTCTTCCGGGGCAGCTTGGCTTGGCCCGCAGAGGACGCCCTCACACCGTGCTCTCACAGGACCGTCTCTCTGGGCATCTGCATCCCACGCTGCTCTTACAAGGACACCAGTGATCTGGGAGTCATATGGCCCCATCTTTAACTGCCTCTTTAAAGGCCGCATCTCTAAATGCAGTCCTGTTCTGAGGTGCCAGTGTTAGGACTTCAGCATGTGAGGGGGTGCACTTTGGTCTGAACCTCCCCCCACCCGTGGTCACACATGGTCTTCAACCACCATCCCTGGTCACATGCAGCTCAGAGAAATGAGTTTCACGAGCTGTGTGCGGGAGGCGAGGACCACAGGACGACTCTGAGGCCATGCGAGGCCCTGGCACCGACGGTGCTGAGAGCCAGGACACACATCTGACGGGCTGTGGAGGCGGGTGGGGAAGTGAGGCGGAAGGGAGGGCAGTGTTGGGTCTCGAATTTTCTCAGAAGGCCGAAGGTACCACAGTCTCAACCTTAAAACCTGGAATTCCTTGTTAACTGAACCACCGTGGCAGAGACCAAGCAGAGGCAACTGGACATTTCTGGGAGAGTGTGCTATGGCACAAGGCCAAGAACCTAGTTAGAAATGAGCATGCAGTATGAGACTAAGCCCTGAACCGAGGAATGAGCAGTCAGACTGGGGAGGGGAGTGGAAGTCGGCGAAGATTCTGATTTCTGGGAAGGACCTTAAAGTTGAAAAGCAGTGAATAGGTAGGTACTGATGAGGATGATAGCGAAAAGCCGAGGCCAGCTAGTCCCCTCCTAGGGTCTTCCCTAAAGAGTTAAAGACCTCATAGTACAGTGGTAGCGCACACCCACGTTCATAGAAGCACAACTCACAACGGCTAAATCTTGGGAGAGGCCTGAGTCTATCAACAGATGATTGGATAAAGAAAAAGTAGCATTTACACATAGTGGAGTACTACTCTGCTGTAAAAGATAACTGAGTCATTTTTAGAAAGTGGATGTACCTTGAGATCATACTATTAAGTGAAATAATCAGACACACAGGCTTAAATATCATTTAGTTTTTCTTATATGAGAAACCTACAGTACAAATAAAGAGTAAAGTAAAAGACAGATAAGAGGAAACGCGGAGACGGATCTTCTGCCTACAAAAGGGGACCCAGAGATGGAATGCGTGGGAGGAGTAGGCCGGGAAGGGGACCTAGGTAAAAAGAATGAAAATGTGTTCTGTACACACACCACCTCCCCACAGCGAAGGGACTCACCGTGGACTGCAAGTATGGACTAATAAAAATTAAAACTTAATGGAGAGGCCTGCAAAGACCCGCAGAGGGCTGGCTGGTTAGAGCAGAGGACTGGTGCGCAGTGCTGACGGGAAGAGGCCTGGGTCTGGGTGTCAGCGGGGAGGCTGGTGACAGAGGGAAGATGGGCTGCGTGTAAGAGGATAGCTAGGGTGTGGAGACTGCTCAAATGCTGTGATTTACACACACACACACACACACACACACAAATCCACCCACAGCGTCCCATCCTGCATCCCCAGGAGGTGACTGGAGACCGGCTGGTGCCGAGTCCGCGGCATTCATGGCAGAGGGTGGGACGTCTCCCTGGTTTCTAGACTCCCAAGTCAGCTGAACAACCAGTTTCAGCATGGAGCCTTCGTTTGTTTCCTCACTTTAGGCTCCTTCAGCTTGCCTCAGGCAGGGCTCTCGCCCGACCAGGCTTGCGGGACCGACAGCCTGCATGGCTCTAGACGGCCTCAGCGCTCCTGACCCGTTTGCCTCGGGAGAAACACACTGTGGGGACACGAACCCGTGACTTGATGGGAACGTGCTTGGCTTAATGTGAGGCAACCAGGAAACCTCGTGAAGCAGTGGCTGCGTGTTAAAGTCTTTTAGAAGAGGACGAGTCCACTCCTAAAGTCTTCCCACCTGCCTTTTCTTTTTACAATAGTTGCAAATACACTCTGCGAGCAACCCTAGATGACATATATGTATGTACAGACGTATAATCCAGGACCATCTCCCTGTCTTGCATGATACACATGCCACGTGGAACAGTTGTGTCTGGCCCAGACCTTTGGGCTTTCCCCTTGTCTTTAAGACACGAGCGATACTGAGCAGGTTTGGTCTGCGACCTCAGCATCCCTGGCTCTGCTCCCATCTGCCTGCAGCCCAGCCTCAGGGGAGGCCACTCTCAGAGTGGACTGCAGCGTAAGGCCCCAGGGACGATGACAGGTCCCGGAGCTGCTGCCCAGGAGCAACCAGACTGTGCAATGGGGCAGGCCAGGGCACAGGAGATAAAAGTTGGGCGCTGCGTGGAAAGCAGTTGGGAGGTTTGTTCCCTCTCCCGAGGGTCGCTGATTGCACCCTGGACAGGCCTTTGCAGAGGGGAGGCCCTCGCCCCTCCCCAGTCCGCGCCTGGCCCGGTCCCCTGCCCCGCCCACCTGCGTGTCCCACCTGCCCCAGGCAGTCTGGCTCGGCTAGGTAGGACCTCGGCCGTGGCCACACCTTCTCCCCCGCCGGCCACGCCCCCAGCACGCGCAGCCCGCCGGCATCACCGCCCCCCCGCCACGTGACAACCGCGCCCTCCTCGGCAGCCGCGATTGGCTCTCCCGGGAGGGGGCGTGGCCTTGGCGGCAGCCCCGCCCCAAACGCGGCTGCAGTTTTTAAACCTCAACTGTAAGTTCGCCGGCGTCGCCGCCGCCCGGCTCCGGTCACTGCTGTGCCCTGTCCGGGAAGGGTCGCCGAAGGCCCGCGGAGCCCAGCGGAGCTGCGCGTCGCCGAGTGCAGCGGGGGCCCGCCGGGAGCCGGAGGGCGTGGTGAGTGCCCGGCCGGATCCGCGGGGGCCCTGGGCCAGGCGGAGCTCTGGGGTCGCGGGG